CAGCGGTATGACCGGATGCAGGAACACAGCCGCCAGCGGCTCTAGGGCGCTCAGCCCCACGACCATCTCCTCGCACGCCGCCGGACTGGCTCGACGAAGAAGCTGGTTGAGTGCGGCAACACAGGAGGCCTTGGCCATGGGGTGGGCGTGGCGTGTACGGAGAACCTTTTGTGTTTTTGTTTGTTTCACGGGTTTGGGGGGGGGGAAGCGGGGGAAGAGCGGCAGGGAGGTGAGAAGCGCGGAAACGAAGAGCTGGAGTGAAAATGGAGTGTGCGTGTGTTGTGTGGAAGGGGGGGACGAGGGGGAGTTTGAGGGGGCGAGGAGGGGCGAAATCAAAACACGCACAGAAATACTCGGCACCTGGAAACCCTACACAGCGGCCGAGCTTCCGATCCAGCTAAGGCCACCAAACCCCCTTTCCCCGGTACTCCGGGTTGGCCGTGTGTGTGTGCTCGTCCAACGGTTCGCCGCGGCCCCCAAAACACATACACACACAGTCATCCCCCCTTTTCCCCCCACACCCTCGCTAGTCCCGCAACCTCTTCCACCTCCCCGCACACATGTACACACATACACACAGGCACACATACACATATACATACACACGTACACACAGGCACACACAATCCCTCCCCCCCCCCTCATCTCCAAAAAGCCCCCTCCTACCTTGACCATGTGTGCGGGTGCACCGGCATTCATGAGTGCCGTACAAGCCCCGTTGGCAATGTCCTGTTCAGGCGCGCAGCACATTGCTTCCATCACAGCGGCCGCGTCGTAGCAGGCGGAGCGACCTCCCAGCTGACTCATATCCTGTACGGAAGTGGTAATGGTGGTGGGGTTGGTGGTGGTGGTGGTGGTGGTGGTGGTGGTGGTGGTGTTGGTGGTGTTGGTGGTAGAAGTAGGGGGTTGAATGGGGGTGAGGGGGGGATGTGCGTGTGTGTTTTTGCGTGATGAAAGGTAGCCCCCGGGAGGAGGGGTAGCTATGGAAAAAAAGGGGAACGAAGGCAACCTGTGAAACACGTTTCCCAATGTACGGCACACGTCACGTGGGGCCGACAAAAGCACTATACAAAGACGTAAGTACGGACGCACCGTGAGATCCAGACACGTCACCAGGGGTCTCCAGTCCCAATCCGCCCGCATGAGCCGCCACAGCCGGGGCCGGGAGTCCTGCTCACGAGACACTACTCGGAGGAGCGCTGTTGGGGGGTGAGGGGGGAAACAGAGAGAGAGCAGTTGAGCAGGGGGGAGAGGAGGGGTGGGGGGGTGGGAAGAGGAGTCGTTGAGCAGGGGGGAGAAGAGGGGGGAAAGAAGAGGGGAGGGGAAAGACGAACCACGAACGAGTGAAGCTGCTGTCAAGGAGGGGAGGGGAGGGAAACGCAATATGTGTGTGCAAAAGGTCCAAGACACACACACATACATACACACACACACACAAAAGAGTGGTAATGACGTCCGGCGCACCAAAAGAGAGAGAGACGGGGAAGTGGGAAGGGTAAAGAGATTTAATAAAGAGATTTATTAAAGGGATTTAATAAAGGGACTTAATAAAAACCACTAAAAAACCCTACAGTATAGACACATATGCAAAATGTTGAAGCGCTCACCACACGACGCCGCCCTCAGACTCGCGCTCTCGTCCGACAAGGCCGCCAGGACGTGCGGCAGGGGTGCGGGTTTCGTGTCCAGCATTACCCCCCGCTGCAGGGGGTTGTCCCCGGTCATCGCCACGAGAATACCCAGAGCGGGGGTCATGTCGGGGACCTTGCCGCTGGCCAGGATCTTCACCGAAGTCTGTATGTATGTATGTATGTATGTATGTACGTATGTACGTATGTACGAGGCAGTGGGTGCGTGCGGGTTGGGCGTTATATTGCATATTCTGCACCAGAAGTCAAGGTTCGAAGAAAACCACCGGCCGGAGTCCGCTCAGAAGGGGGGGGAGAGGGGGGAAAGACGAACCACGAACGAGTGAAGCTGCTGCCAAGGAAAGAGTGTACCAGACGTAGAACTGACCGAAAGGCGTCCGCTCAGAAGGGGGGGGAGAGGGGGGAGGGGAGACTACGAACTATTGGAGATGAGCCACGAACGAGCCACGGAGAGCCCACCAAGGATTTTTCTCTAATAAGATTTCGTTTCTCAGAAAGTTGAAATTCCCGAAGGTTTAAGCGCTCAAGGAACGTTCTTTAGAGGAACAAAAACAAAAATAACTTTTGCGCATTTAAAAATAGCTCTTGTTACGCTCCTGGTTTCCTGCCCGGCTTTTTCGGGGGGGGGGAAAAATGCTACTTTCCCCCCTGCCACAAAAAGCCATACAGGCCCTCCGAAAGGCGCTCCGTGTGGCGCGGTATGCTGGAGATGGCCGGTGACGGAGGTGGCCCCTTCCCTCCATGTGTGCATTTGCACAACAGGCTTTAGTGCGCCCTCGCAGTGCTCAACGGCAACACACACCCCCCCCCCCCACACACACACACACCAGTGCGGTGCAGGACGGGACCCCCTTTTCCCCCCCACACACACACATCCTCCTCCTCCCAACCCTTTTAGCCCCCCCTTAGCATGACACCGTAGTACGTAGCCGTGCTACAAGCGTACAATCCGTACAGTGTCGTACCTCCACAACGCCGTACTTGACCGCCTCGTCACGCTTCGCCTTGGCTACTTTATTCGAGGGGAACAGCAGCTGCCAAATGAACATACCGGCCTGGGGGGTTCAGACACGGGAGCGGGGGTGAGGGTGTGTGTGTGTATGAGTGTAGTAGATAAGCGGTGTCGACAGGAACGAGTATTGATAAGAAGGACAACACGACGTTTAGAAACTTCGTGGGCTTCGTGGAGAGAGAAATACGTCGTATGCAAGGAAGACAGATAAGATCTGGCGGCGCCCAAGGTCAGAAAGTAAAAGTGGTCTGAGGGGGGGGAAAAAGACGAACCACAAACGAGTGAAGCTGCTGCCAGGGCAAGAGTGTACCAGACGTAGAACCCCCCCCTGCGGGGTGTATGCTAAACACTGTGCCGGCATAGAAACTTGGTAACCCGCTGTAACAACAACAACAAAAACCGTCAAGAGGTATTTGCGGAGGGACCCAGAGCGCAAAGGCCCGTTGGTGAGGGGCCGAGTGCGTAGCGTGAGGCGCTGTAAACTGTGTGTGTGTGTGTGTGCCTGTGTGTGTGCCTGTGTGTGTGTGGGGGGGGTTGAGACAATTCATGTCGGGTGGCAGCAGAGGAGAGCAGCGCAGTGCAGAGACCAGCGCAGCGCAGCAACGGGAAGGAGAGGTGTTTAAAAACCCTCTGGAGGCGGAGACAACACGTGGAGACACGTGCAAGTCTACAGGATGGTGATTTGAGGAAAGTGCTAGGGCGGGAGGGGAAAAGCAAGGCAAGCAAGGCAAAAGGGAATGTATTATTGGTGGTGATCGTTTCGAGGCCATAAGCGTGACGAGCAGCAAGGTCGTGTTGGCATACGTGTGGGATGGTGGCGGTGGTGGCGATGGCGGTGGTGGCGGTCAGGGATGTGAAGTGAGGGTTGGTCATGTGCCGTGGAAAAGCGGGGAAGAAGCCCTCGTGTATGTGTGAGACCGCTATAGTGCTGATGATGTAAACTTGACAACTGCAAGATAAAACGCGCGGGCGCTACATGCCACCAGCCTTCATATGAGATGTACCGTCGGAGGTGCGGGCCGGAAGCTTTCGACGGACATGCGGCTGCGCATATGTGCAAAGCGAGGTCCGATTTTGCATGATGGATGCCGCAGACTCCTGAGCCTTAGCGGATTGAGAATGTGATACGTTGCGCTGGATGATAACCTGTGCACCACGCTTCTGCTAATGTTCCGCCTCTTCACACACCTGGGTCCGTGTGATGTTCGGTGGCGGTGCTTGGCCCTCCTTTAGTTTTGTATCCTTGATTTCTCCACTGTAGAATTCTGAGAGCTGCACGCCAGCAAAGCCGGTGAGGGGCCACATTGGTTGCATTCACCGGCTAGCTGTAATTGCGTAGAACCCTTTAACTAACCTTTTGAAGGTTTTGGCTGAGCTCCCAGAGCCCATCAGACATCCAGGCAGGCTTGTTCCCCTTCTTCCCTTTTTTGCCCCCTTTCTTCTTTCCATCCTTCTTCGGAGCCATAAGTTCGGCAAATTCTACTAAGCAGGTAAGTCACTAATCAAATTATTACGATATGTTATAATTTTGGTAAAAGCTGAGTTATTCGAAGCCTGTCACGACATGCATCGTTCAACTTCACCACGTTGTGGCATCATCGTAGAGAAAACGGGTCACAGAATAACCTTCTGGAAAGGAGTTATGTTGAATTGGTGCAATTTGCGCTGCATGGGAAGCTACGCCGTACTAACGGTCATAATAATCGTTCATGCATTTACGCACCTTCAGGTTACAAAAAAGCGCACCTGTCGTACACACCAAAAGACTTCATTGATGCCGCCTTGCTAAAATCTAGCAGGAATTTATACCTTTGGATGCTCGGAAGGCGCTCCCAAGCACAATATAAATAGCTGCTTGCAAGAGGCGCATAACCCCAACAATCTGTAAAAATCACGATCCAACCGTTCCTCACCTTGCGATGGGTGGCAAGAACGGCGTACCCGAACTTGTGTCGCTGAGCGTCTCAGCCTGGAGCCTAAAGGTAAGCTGTAGGCGTGTAGGAAGCTCTGCGAACCTAATGGCCTGTGTAGGATGCACGCTTGCCACAGCGTCAATTCTTCTCCTAATCAATCAATCGGGGACCAGGCATTAAGGTTTCGTAACTGTCCCGGCCGTGCTTTTTACCGTCAGCAGAGGCCAGCTATTTGAACTTGCTTTGCCTCGCCATTCCATGACATCTTTCACCGTGGACATCAGCCTTTTTTATATTCCTGAACGCGAACTAATTGCGCCTTCTCTCCGGATGCCATGATGATGGGAAGTTTACTACCAATGGCGAGAGCGCTCAATTCCCGCAGCAGGCAGTCGACAGTCCTCAAGCTCCCCAGCGCTTGCAAATACAACCGCCAAGATGCCGACTTGGTTGTTGATGTCCTTTGATGCTAAGCTTAACAGTATTTGATTTACGGTCATCAACACATAGCACATGAACCATCGCCCTACCTACACCGAAGGTAGTAGCGATGGCATCGCTACTACCTTGCACACACGCACACACACATAATACGCTTTACGCGCAGGCTCGCTTCGCCTTGAAGTACCACTGTATTAAGTACCGTACAACGCCGTACTTGCCGCTGTTTGGCGAGTTTATGCTGCGGCTGCGGCTGTGGGAATGGCGTCGCAAGCTGACAGTGCCCGTGATGTTCACGCCAAACGACGGCGTGCTGATGCAATCGTACGACATCGCGCAATGGGCAGATCGTCATAGCGCCAGGCCAGATGCCGTACGGTTGTTTCCTGAAGGCAAGGAGGCGGAAGTCAGCAGGTAGGTAGGAAAGGGGTAAGGAGGGACGAATTCACGGAAGTCGCCGCCGTCACTGTCACCGTCACCGTCACCGCGCAGTCGGCGGAGACCTTACGAAGGACCTCCGAGGCTGAGACTGTATGCCATGGGGCGGCGTATCTCGCGATTCTGACATCCGCCGATCTGCACTTTTCTGTTCTGAAGTTGTTCTTGAAGTCATGACAAACGAGAGGCGGGTCGTCACAGCTCCACCCCCACATGGAACTTATCCCAACCTCCTCCGCCTGCTGCTCCACTCCTTTCCTTTCCTGCTCACTCCTTTCCTGCTCACTCGTCTGTGTTTCTTCTTGGCCCCCTCCCGCTTCCCCTTTTCCTGCTTCCCGAACAGATGGAACACGAAGAGTGACGTGGTCTTGTACTTCGGTCGGTCATTACTTGTAGAGGCCACTTTGGCAGACAAGGTGAGTGAGTGTGCATGTGTGTGTGTGCATGTATGTGTGTATGTGGTGGGGGTTTAACAAGAGGCAGGGGATGGGGGGGGAGATGTGGGAGGGAAGGAGGAGGGAGTATTGAGGGGAGGGTGTGAGCGGAGGGAGGGAGGGAAAGGCCTGTCCCTAGGGAGGCGCTGTTGTGTATCACGACCACAGAAAAGATAAGTACTGATCAGCGTCATGTCAGCAGATTCCGCGTCAGTACGCTGTCAGTACGATGTCAGCAGATACCGCGATGATGGTACGCGCGAGCTCCGGGATGCAACAGGCGCATGCATACATGGCTCATTGGCCCTGGAGGCCCCCCAGGCCTGCAATCAGGGAAAGGTGTGGCAGGGGAGGTGAGGAGGGGCGCCGGGAGGCGGTCCCAACTCAACTCAACCCCACAGTTAACCGCACACCTCCCAAACCCCCCGACTCCTCCTGCCCCGCCCTGCCTTCCCGTACGTGTACGAACACAGGCCGCGTTAAGGCAGTTGGTGCCTTCAGGACTTCGCTGGCTGGGTCCCCTGGGGCTGGTGTTGGTGACTGCCATTGCCAGGAGGCTTCAGAACAAGTACCGGGCAGAGGCGAGCAGCACATGCCTGGATAAGGTGGGTTGGGCCACTTTCAAATTTTTCAAAAAGTTTAGAAAAATTCAGGATGAAAAGGTAAATTTAGGAAGATTTCGGAAGATTTTAAAGATTCAAAAAGGTTCGAAAGAAAGATTTCCTGATGTTTTGGTTCTGTAGAAGAAAGAGGGCAGGGTCTCAGAGGTCAGGGTGCGGGGCTACGGACGGCAGGTATATGACTGTTGCTGCTGCTGCTGCTGAGTGTGTGTGTGTGTGTGTGTGTGTGTGTGTCTGTGTGTGTGACTGTGTGTGTGTGCCTGACGGTAGGAAGGTGTCTGCCCTATGTACCTCTCAAGGTGGTTATAGATAGGTCGCATGCGGTTGTTGGTTGGGCGAGCGGTTGGAGCTCCACAACGAACCCCGCTGGCCCCCTGCTGCGTGCTGCGATATGCATGTACATACATACCTACATACACATTCGCCCATACGCTTGTTTAGGCGCTGGAGGTTCTTCGTGAGGCCCAGTCGGTGCTCCGGACCCATGGGTCAGTGGGCGCTGACGGCGAGCGGCACTTGGTGGCAGGGGAGCTGAGCTACGCGGACTTTGCCATGGCGGTAGCAGTGTCGGTGAGAGCGAGCCAGCGAGCCATGCGCGAGAAGGGACGCGCGCGCGTGGGAATGGGAATCGGATTGCATTCATTCATTCATTCCCATATGGGATGTTGCCAGATGCATCATATGGGCGGGTTGCTTGCATCCGCATGTATGCACATATATACTTGGCTAGTAAGAAGATGCTAATAATAAACCAACGCCACAAGAACGAAGCGCCAAACAGTTAACAAATCAAGAATGTTTACGGTTGATGGCTAACAAGTGAATGTAGGTAAAACCCTTAAACCCTATTTATCTAATCTATTCGAGTGGTCCTGCGGGCCTCCCTGGCACGTGCATGCCTGCCTGCCTGCCTGCAGGCGCTCAAGCCACTGGGACCGCCGTACGCCACGGGTGCCAGGCCGCAGATCAAGGAACTGCAGGTGTGCGTGTAGACATGCGTTCCGCACTATTGCGGTGGGGGGGGAGGGTGGCCTGAGCTATAAACTTGTGCATGTGATGATGCATGGACATAGAGGAGTTGTGCATGCATGCACGCATGAATGCCCCCCCTTACATATCGTCCCCAGCCTGTCTCGCGTAATGCGCATAATGTGCTGTACTGCTGATCTATTGCTTCGCTCTTCCTAATAACTGCCCTGCTGCTTGTTTATGTTACAAGTTCCGCACTAATGCGGTGGGAAGGGTGGCCGTTCCGTAAAAAACGCCTGAGAGGGGCCGCCCCCATATGCATGGACGATCAATAGCCGTTATAGTGGCGCCGAGTGGGGATCGTGTCGCATCCTCTTTATCTCCCGCTCACCTTGGAATCTTCTGTGATTTGGTCTCCGCTTGTTTATGTGTGTGCGTGTGCGTGTGTGACGCACCTTTGCATGCACTGCTGCATATGTTGAACTATCCATTATTATTATAGTATAGTCCCCGTGCCCTATATGTAAAATAACAACCAGCGTGCTGCTGCCGCCGCTCTTAGTTTTGCTTGCTCTTCATGCACCCCTGCTTTCCCGCCTAATGCGCGTGCGTGCATGTACGACACATTGATTTGCCGCCGTCATTCCGACGACCTACGTACGGCTGCTGTACATGTGCCCTTTGGACGAGCAGCCGTACCAGGAGGAGTTTGCGGACCTGATTGCCTGGCGCGATGCGCTCTTTTCAAAGTACTTCCCTCTTGACACCCAGCAGCGGACGAAGAGCAAGGCCAACTAACCGATGACCGAGGCGCATGTATGCATACTTGTGTACATAGCATCCATGCATTCTGTAATGCGGAACTTATGCATGCATGAATGAATGCATATCGAGAGCTCTCAGTATTTTTTTGTGTAGATATTGCAGTAGTACCACCCCATTAATGAGTGGTGGTTCATTTCTGTTTTATTGGTGGTGATGATGGCGATGGTGATGTTGGCACAGCGCAAACTTGCAAGTTGGGCACAGCACAACTTTAGGGATGAGTGCACCAAGTGCATCGCGAAGCAAATGCTGGGAAGGCGCTCGCTGTAAAGGTGGAGGTGGAACAAGATGGCTTATTAGTCTTTTGGCAAGCCCGTCTGGGGCTGTGGGCTGGCAGGTTGTCCGCGATGGATGTTGTCCGCATGTCTTATAGGTCAAAGATTCGTTTTTTGTTGCCTGTTTGCGATCACATCCGGTTCTCTGTGATCACAAATGTTCCGGCCTGACGAGTTTCATGCTTTGAGGAACGGGACGTCTGTAAGTTGAGGAGTGCCTAAAGACCTACTATTTTAGACGAGTATCGTACAGCGGTAAGCGTCAGTCAGTAAAATTTTTGATATATGCGACCTATATGCGACACGCACCCTTTTGTGATAAGTACACGGGCACTTGCATGGCCGGGGATAATCCTACAGGCCTAGGGTAGGGTCCCCCTGACGTGCTTCACGCAGCTGCAGGGCCCACACCGCCGGGCCCGCACCAAAACGTTACAGGCGTCTGCTACCTGCTGCTGCAGGTTGCAGTTTCGCCTATCTAATTATGTAATAAGTATGTACCTGCCTGCTCCAGGCCTTTGGACTTCAAGCCACTCTCACACAACGCAACATTTGTAGTAATTTTGAGCTTCAGTTATTGCAGGATAATAATCGGGAGCTCATGCTTTCATGTGTTACTTGTTTATCTTGAATGGGGCAAGCTTAAGGCAATTCAAGGCTTGAATGGTAATGTATTATTGACCGCGTGACGTGCTTAGCTCGCGATCGGTGGATCCTGTAACTGAGTGAATGTCGCGAGAGCTGCAGGCAACACACAACAACGACGAGCGTTCGCGAAAGGCACACACGTGCATATGGAGGCATCTGGTCATCCTGCGAATAATAAATAATACCTGCGCTGCTGATGAGCTAACACCTAATTGCAGGAAATTATAACATTGTTGTCAGCTGACTTGTTCTTTTGCTTGCCTGATGAATCGCTAACACCGCTCAAACACGACGGCGCAGCAGCCAGCAGCAGGCGGAAATACATATGAATGAATTACATGAAATGTATCATACTATGAAACCTTAGCCAGAAAGCGTAACTTGCTACGCACATGAACCTCGCTCCACAAGCCGTCGAACCTGTTGCCTGTTACAATTGGAAGATGAAACGGTGCCGTTTCATCTTCCGATTCGCTGGGGTCGCGAACACCGGTGTTCCGACTCCACCGGCCCCGGGACCGCTGGAGTATTGAACCGGAGGTATACATCCGGTTCAATACTTTACATTAAAGCTGATCTACTTATTATCTACTTATTATAATACAACTGATAATGTGTTTTATACTGTGCACGTAGGTGCGCGGGAAGTGAAGTAACCTAGTATATATATACTGTATATACATATACGCATATATATGTGTGTATGTGTGTGTATGTTTGCAAATAAAAACTCGCGAAGCCTGGCTGCCTATGTCCCGTATGCTCCTGAAGCTTCATCATCGTCAGGCAGGAGCTGAAGATATCGATCGATCCCATTTAATCTTTGCCCAAGGAAGGTTTGTTCTCGCATCGTCCTGCTTCATACATTCATCAATATCTAGACTGCTGAAAGGAGCTCGCAAGCCTAACTAAGGAGCAGCAGCAGTAATAATAATAATAATAATAATAATCACAGCCACAGCGGCCACAGCTGGACGAGTTCCACGCAGCAGGTGTAGCTATAGGGCAGCCACGTTTATCAACCCTACTTAATGGGTGGCTGTCTTGGGCATACATACATTCATACATACATACCTATATACACACATACATACATAAATACATGCAGCCAGCTGAAACGTCACAGAAGAGTGGATGACAATGATCATATGGCACGGCTGCCTACCACTTCTTTCGCTGCTGCAAATCCAGCGGCACATACTGCTACCCTTGCAAGTAGAGCTCCTGTGCTGCATCACTCCCACCCCGCCGGCAGTACTACTACTAGTAGTATTGACCCGTCTTATCGCAGTCAACGCGCAAGGTGAATATATGCGTGCATCATGCATGTCCTTAAGCTTGCTTCGGTTACTTCGGCAAATAGCAAGCAAGGGCATCAGTTTATGGTAGCCGTCTGTTACCTTAGACGTTTCAGCGGAAGTCTTGGGTAGCGAGGCCGAGGAAGGGTGTGTGTGTGGCTTAGCGTAAGGAGCGGTAAGAAAAGCTAGACTTCGGAGATTATTTCAAGAACGGTAATAGCACGGGCTTGAACCCTGAACATTTATATAGTGGCATGAATGTGTCTGGCCGAAGCACTTTACCTGGGTGGCTGGATACCGTAACCGAAAGTCAGTTCGTACAATAAACGAGTACGGTTCGTAATTACGGGACCGTACCGTTACTGTGATTAAGCTTTAATAGCTTAATATATTCTAAGGTAAATGTAGCTTGCTACACAGTTTAACTTACAGCTAGCTAGGTACACCTATTCACTCCAGTTACATACATATCGCACATTTTTTCTGAGCAATGACCCCATGACCCCATGGCTACCTAATGATGAGCTCCCAGCTTCCACCCGCCCATCGTGTCCTCCATCCCCTCGCTCCAGGACCACCACTTCCGTCATCGCCACCACCCCCTCCCCCCCCACCCTTCAACAACATCGCCATCGGGAAGACCGTATACGCATCATCCCAGTTTTCCAGCCAATACGATCCCGTCAATGCCATTGATGGAATCATTCCTTCAGCGGGCAGCAACAGCAGCACCTTCATCAGCGCAAGCGGTACGAGCGAATGGCTAGCGATCGACTTTGGTGAAGCGATGACCATCTCCAGTATAGCTCTATACCACCGCACAGACTGCTGCGCCCATGAGGTTGTGAATGCTGAGTTCAGGCTTGGAGGTGCCGCCGTTATCCCATCGGATGCGACCAGATACATCAATAATTACCGTCTCGATAATGCATCATCCGGACCTGGCACGACTGGCGGCGTAATCCTCCTTAACCTCAACCCGCCTAGGACCGGTCGCATTCTTATGGTTCGGAACAACAACTTCGACCCAAGCCCATATGTAAGGTTGGCGATGGCGGAGCTGCAGGTTTACGGCATGCCGGCAGGTGATGATCATGATTGACGATATTATTGCTATTCATCGGTTGAGGACACGATAATGCGTTGATTGGCTGCTGGTGGTTGGGGAGTGGAGAAGTTAGTGTTTAACCAGGGTTTGAGAATCTGCCGTATGCACGTGCAATGCCTAATAATAATCGTCCATGCATGCCCTTTATTTCCGGCTTTATTTCCTTTCACATAGACCCTCTGTAGTCTAAAGAGTGCCATGATGCATTAGACAGGGGCTTTAAATACGTAGTATATTACCATTATCATTGATGTTCATTATTATTATTATTATTATTATTATTATTATTATTATTATTATTATTATTATTATTATTATTATTATTATTATTATTATTATTATTGCCATGTTAAATATGGAAAGGCCCGAAATTAGTAAATGGTCCGTATACATAAACACGTCTGCAAAAGAGTGCCCATATGTAGATCACCTTTTTCAGGCCTATCTAATATTATACGTGCGTGGCGCGATTATTTAACCATCCTTAAACATGAATCTTTTTACAACCTATTCCATCATCGGTCCTATCTATTATACGACGGCCCCAAAACATTATTACTGAGGCAGTTCTCCGCTTACGGACGAAAGGCCCGAAAGGCTTCAACAAGTACATGGTCCATATGTATACTATACATCATGTAGAAGGTCCTCCATTCTGCAGACGACAACCCACCACACCATTCTTGCCACCTCTATATATGTTCAGCTTGCACGCTCCAGGTTCTGTACGGCGCTGGGTACGGTTTCGACTCCTCCACGCTGTCCACCAGTGACCAGCCCGACGAAGCGGCCTGCTGTCAGGCCTGCTACAGCAGCCCCACCTGCCGCTACTGGGACTATGTTCGCAGTAGCCGTGTGTGCCGCCTCAAGACCGACCAAGGGCAGTCAGGGCAGCTCATCCCTGGATTCTTCTACCCACATAAAGACCGAGTAGCGGGCGCGAAGAGGGGTATGTGCATATGTATGTACGTGTGGCGACAGTGTCTTCATTCGTTGAGGCTGATATTGGTGGCTGGGTGTAATGCCCAATGTAGTAAAGTAAATGTAAGCGTGTAATATGCATGCAGGTGTAAGCACTTTCTTCGGGTCTGTACGAATGAATATGTCGACGGATCCGAAGGCCACCGCATTCTGGTCTGATCCTTACGCTTACTGCACCGGGGGGACTTGTCCACCGGATTACGCGTGCAAGTATTTCTACAAGTCCTACTACACACCTAAGTCTATTTCCGGCGCGACTTTCCATCTGGAAGCTGACGATAATGCTACACTGTTTGTGAACAGTAATAGCCTTCTCCCAAACGCATTTGTTAGGGGACAGGCCTTCATTTCTGTCGATCTGCTGGCGGGCCACAACATCCTGGCCTTAGAAGCCTGCAACGAATTGGGCCCAAGTTGGGTATCAGGGACACTGTTCGCTCCGAACAATACTGTGCTGCTGCGTACGGACGAGACATGGGTTTGGACAGAGTCGAAACCACTGCCACTACCTCCAAGCCCGCCTAATCCTCCATCTCCTCCACCCAGCCCGCCACCGCCGCCACCACCCCAGCCCCCCACCGCCGCCATCACCCCAGCCACCGAGCCCCCCACCGCCACCATCACCCCACCCCCCCAGCCCGCCACCGCCACCATCACCCCAGCCGCCCAGGCCCCCACCGCCGCCATCACCCCAGCCACCCACGCCCCCACCACCGCCATCACCCCAGCCGCCCAGGCCCCCACCGCCGCCA